AAGCATTTTGCGAGCAACATTTTGAATGGCCTGCCACTACTTTGGTGGCCTGGAAAGTTGTATGATGCTGCAAGTACAACACCCAAGCAATGCCATGCACCCAAGCTTCAGTTACCCACTTCAGTTATATGATGCAAGCTTTTTGCGAGCAACATTTTGAATGGCCTGCCACTACTTTGGTGGCCTGGAAAGTTGTATGATGCTGCAAATGCCATGCACCCAAGTTTCAGTTACCCACATGCAGTCATGGCTGAAGGACCTACTACATCTCACACATCTGCCACTCCCAAACGCAAACTGGAAAAATCTTACACTGTCAAAAATTATTGAAACTTAGTGATGAAAGTGGAGAGAAAGTGTTATTATCCTCTGATGATGAAGATGTGGAGCATTTTCAAGAAATATACTCAAATGCAACTGATGTTGAAGAAGAGCATAGTAGTGTTGCATCCTCCCCTCTCCCCAAGAGACCAGCGTATTGTCTCGTGACCCAGACTAATATACAATCCATTGTCTGGTCTCACAGAGATAATTTTGACCCGTTAATTTACGCTTTTGATTTTAGAAATTCCGGAATAACATCAGAATTCCCAGTCAGTGAGAAAGCTGAAGAAATAGAATTTTCCAAGCCTTCTTGGATGAATCCTATACTGAATGAAACAAACAAATACAGGGATTTTGTCGTTTCTGATTCTCAGTTTTCTCCACACTCAAGGGTTCATTGATGAGTCGATACAACCATTGGTGAAATGTTTGTGTTTCTGGCATACTATTAAAACCATAAAAGAGATGAACGAGTCAACAGAAAAGCGAAGAAGAAAAAAAGTACAACTGTTGGCATGTGGCAACACCCCATCACTAGTGGCAAGACTCACGAGCACTGTATCCCCCACCTGGCACCAACCCATTGCAATGCCACTCAAGATGAGCATCCTTTGGACATTTTAAACCTCAAGGAAATGTGAGTAATTAACTTTTTTTTTTTCATATCTTATCTCTACGTATAGTAATCTTTTATTTTATGTTAAAAAATTAAATTCTTAAAAAGCCGCGAATCTTGGTGATGACATGATAGGCATATTTACACAAGCCACAAATGAAGGGTTAAAAACATAAATTAAAAAATTATCATTCACATAAATATCTTAAATATCAACATATACTGTATTTCTTATTGTACACAGCATGTATACAGGCACAACATATAATGAATGGTAACTGTAAAATCTGTACTATTGTTGATCACAGTTTGGATTAGCTAATATTAGGTCTCTCTTATATGTATAGAATGCCAACACTATTATATACATCAGAGAAACTGAATAAGAAATATTCATATTATAGCATATAGTGATTGATAAAGAGAATTTTAGTTGACCTGATTGGCAGATGACATAAGAGACTCTGCTAGCTTTTTGTTATTTGTCCCACCAGTAGCTATATTTTTAGCTGTACTTGCAGTTCTCACAGAAAAATCCATAAGAGCTCTAGCTTTGTCTTGGAAGTTAGCATCTCGATGTTGTGTACCTTAACATAAAAGAATATATGAAAAGTTATTGAGCTTAATAAAAAAAAAAAACATAAGTAAAGTAAATGAGGTTATGCTACTACAAAAGAGCCTTCATCTTTAACATTATACTAGCTTGCTGAATGATAAAACAGCACAGCAACATACATAATACTTTTTACAGAATTTTTGTACTTTTAAATTATAAAATAGAAAGACTCAGACTAGTAACTCTTTTTCTCATTAATTTAAATTTAGGCTGGCTAAGGAAATGTAACACAGATTGAATGCAACAATGTTAACTAGTCAAGGTAAACTGACTATTGCTCTAATGAACTAAAATGCTTCTTATATTATTAGACTTCAATAAAAAATATTACAGATGCAGTAACACACTAATCATCAGGGTGCACATGTTTTTAAAATATGTTCTGCTATTTTTAACTTTCAGAAATGAACTGTATAATGACTTTAATGTGTGTCATATTTACACATCATTCTCTATTGAAGAGGCCCACACATGGAATCATATTTTATAATTTTATGTGTCAGAATACTCAATGTAAAGAACTTACCCAAAAACTGGGCGAAATTACTCATCTTCTATGTAAAACACACTGGAAACCTCAGCAGTTAATAGTGAGATTAACTGCAATACTGGCACTACATGTTTAAATTTTTTTGTAACTCATAAGTTATGAGAGATTCCATAACCAACAAAGTTATGAATTCACAAATAATTGTGAATAAACTAGTTTAAAAAAATACATTAAAAATGTGATATTATCTGCGTAGACCCATCTGTAATTCTAGAGTTAAAAATGAGCTATATGATGTCAATATCTAAATATTTTCTAATTTATATCCAATCAAATTCTATGCTTTAAAATGTACAGTATAAATTTCATTCAAGATTTTGTACTACTGAAAGTTTATTTATATTTCATTATTTTACATTCCAAAGTGAAAAAAAAGCATGAGAAATTGAAATTTAAGAAGAGGAGGAGAAAGACTGTTTTATTTACCTTCAAGTGCAAGAACTCACTTTACTGAAGCTTTTAGAGGTGAAGTGATGTCTATGAAATCTTCTACAACCTGAATAAAACAGATAAACTATTTGTTTAGATACTGAATTTGAACTGTTTAGATATAAAAAGTTTGAACATGAAAATTAAAACAACAGGGCTTCAAAGAGTTTTAGATAGGACACTTACTACAAAACCTGAAAATAAATTTTCATAAGCATTTTTTTAATATAAAGAATTAAGCTACCTAGCAACTTTAGAGTACTAATCATAGCTACTGTAGTACACTCATGCTGATGCTTTTTGACATATCTTTACCACAACATTGTTCTGTTGGCAATCATGTTTAATCATGTGTATATATATTTTTTAAAACATGTCCGAAATATTTCAAAAATAAATGAAAATATGAATAATTCTGCTCATTTTTCCAAGATCCTTCAAAACAGGTATAAAATAATTGCCTGCTGAATGTACAAATTCACTCAAAATAAATGCTCTACTGCGTTCACTTTGCAGTTATGATTCCTTATCAGCTTATATTTTCTTACCTAAAATAAACTGTCAATAAATTCCTATAATATCTATGTTCAGCCAAACCTCTATCATCAGTACAGCTGTGCATGGTTTTTCCTTTCAAAACATATATATATATGTTCAAAAGGATACATCACATCACATGAGCACACAAAGTCATTAATGAGCTCAGGTGCAGCTGGTTGCAGTATCTTTAGCTTTAGCTGACCACCTACCATCTCACATCCATAATTGGTAGGATCAAGAATATCATAAACTCCAGCTGTTACAAATGGTTATTCCATAAATATGAAATACAGAAAAATGCTGCAGTATCATTTCAAAAAATAAAATAATTTATAAATTATTTTCCCTGTTAATCACATCACAACAAATTAACTAAAAATTTATATATCAAAACTTCCTATAAAATAAGTTTTTGATAATTATCTCCTTTCAATTATAAAAACAAACTGCTTTTATAGGAGGTTTAACGTATAAAAGAGTTATGAAACAAACTTCTTATAGCCCTTTGTAGTAGTAGTAGTTGTTGTTGTCTTCATGTAAAGGTACACAATGGGCTCTGCAGGGAATCAAACCGCAGATTTTAGTGTTGTAAATCCATACACGTACCAATGTCTCAGTGGGGACATTGTTTTGTAAAGGATTATTTTCCTTTTTACATACTAAATTGGTGTTGTTGCAGATATTTAATTCTGTTTCATTTTTAATACTTGTAAGGCAAGTACATGTGGCTAGCTATGCTTTTCATCCGATTCAAGAGAATGTCATACATTGACACTCAAATTTGCTTGCGACTTTTGCTTTGAAATTGTTAAAACAGAACTTTCAACACAAATATAGTCTGATACTATAATGGAAGGATTTCAGAACAGTGAAGACATGCATGGGGACGTGAGCCTATATAAAATAATAATAGAGAAGTGCAGTTATGGCAGGCAAATAGAGAAAGTGGAGTGCCCCAATCATGCTGTTAAATGCTATACCAAATGCAATACCAACATGTATGATTTTTAAGCAAACCCTGAATAGAAAGGATAAAAACTGTATTAGAGGAACTAACATAAGAAATGCAAAGGAAAGGAATACAGCTGTATAACAGAGACAACAGTTAAATAATGGCCCTTACTATGTCTTTGGTGACCATACAGAATGTCAGTAAACATTTTGCAAAAGTCACAGTATCATTTCAAAATTTCCAAGGCTCACACTCGCATAGATCATAAATACCATATATTACCTAGTCAGTAAAGCAGATAAGACTAGTTTCTGACAGCACCACCAACTGTATTGAAAGTTACATGCACTTAGTTACTAAGTTTTCAGACAAAAAGCTGTTCAACAGATCCAAATCTAGCTATTACTATCATCACTGCAAAGAAGCTGGATTATTGTATCAGAATGGACAAGAATGGCTCTAGAAAATGTGGAAAAATTAAAAACCCATTGGCTGTTGTGAAGATTTACATTAAACATTGAAAAAAAGGCTTACTGTATACAGAAAACTACTAGTCCTGTGTAAAGAAAGAAGGCATCTGAGAAAGATCGAAATCTGGAGGAAATGAGTATGATGGTGACTCAAAAGAAATTACAATTATTTTTAACAAGTTTAAGGCCAGTTGCATGTAACATAATGTGAATTTTGTGACTTTGCATATAGATACCTCATGGTATGCACATTAAAAGAATATTGTGAGATGACACACTTTCTGGACACAAAAATGTTTCTTTTTTTTGTGATGTTTTTTTCCAGTATCACCTTCCTCCACAACTGACTGACCAAGTAATATGGAAGTGAGATCCACAATATATCCAACAAGCAATTCAAAAGCAAAAAAAGCTTCATCAGAAGATCTAAGACAAAAAGGAATTGTGTTATTTATTATTGTTTATATCATTGTGCTTATCATTTTTTAGGGTTTGTAATAAGCTTCATTGGGTCTTATAAATTATGACTAAACAGAATATACTTTCTTGGTGACTGAATGGTTACCTTTTTTCAGATTTATCAGTTTATGTTTGATGAGGTAGAAATATTTCTTCGAGAACTATCTTTTTCGCATGGTTCAATCAATAAGGCTTTATCAAGATGATGATTTGAGCATAACATAAAAATATACATAAGCCAAAATTATAATTAAGGACAACTTACACAAAAATTTTGTTTTCTTATAAAACTACAAAAAAAAAAGATAAACAATTTCCACAGATATACTGTTATTACAATATAATTATTTTTTAGAAAACAAGTTCAGAAAACATCATGAAACAGGCAGTCAACTGGTACTTGAATAAGTTTTGTCAAAGGAGGAGGTTGGGTGTGTAATTATTACAGAACTATCAAGGTAATGGTTTAATAGTGCTAATTACCATCATTTTGTAATTTTAAAAGAGTACAGGTTGGAAATCATAAAAATATAGAGCAGCTTTTTTCTACTACAAGGGTATTTTAACACCTATAATTTATATTAACATATTAGGGGTAACTGCCCTTCCACAACTGGGTGCTGACAAGTAAGAGGCAGTAGGAGCTAAGATGTTGGCAGTCAAAACACTCAACTCGTAACCCCTAATTTGATCTTCCCTAATAGCTAACAAGTTTGACATTTGTGTTGGAATAATGTCTGATAAATGGAATATTCACAATACTTTTGGGTGCTATGTCCACAGACATTTTCCATTATGAGTTAAATAATAATGACTAGGACTGGCAACACGCAGCTTTCTTTTTTGTTAGTTTCATAACACACATCTTTGTTTTAGTTTTTATACTAACTTTCATTATTATCATATAGTGCTGATTTTTATTGCCTAAATACTTTGACGTAATTTATAGTATTAGAACTATATATTTATTACATACTATTAGCACAAGTGTGATATTTTGAGTTTTGATATGAATATATGAATAAAAAATATAAATACTGATAATTTTTTATATATATCATACAGATATTTCGATATTGACAGAAATGCTAAATATAATGTTTAGCTGTTATAATATTCTCTTTTTCCCATTGTTTATATTTTAATTTACACCAGAAAGTTCGTGATGACTTGTGACCAAAAAAGAGCATTCTTTCAATTTTTTCTAAGTGAAAAAAAATCTTGTTTTGTCAAGTGAACAATTATGTTTCTATTGCTTTTTTTTCTTAGTTTTATATCTTTTGCACCCTTTATTTAAATATCTACATAAAAGTTAATTAACCATCACATGTTATCTTATATATTGAACAAATATTCATTAAAAACAAATAGTTGCATGGGATCAATATTTAAAAGAATTTTGTGTATATAAAATATTGTTATAGTAGTTGTTTGTGTCAACCATACACAACAGCTTGTTACCATTGGATATTTAGTTCATAACCTGAACCAATGGCATTTATACTCTCTCAGATGAAAAAAAAATTATATGTACAATTTTTCATGTCACATTATTATGTAAAAGTGAGTTTTGACTGTGGAAGTGTTCTAGGTTTGACCTAGAAAATAATTTCATTGGTCATAATACAGCAGAATCTCAGAGAGAATTGGGTCCAGAAATGCTACACAACTTTTGTTTAAAAACAAATCAAATCACCAGCCAAAGGGTGAATTTAAATGCATTATCTTTTAAAGTCAGAAATTATTACTAGAGCTGGATAAATTACACCCTTAACAAAAGGAGTCTTCTAAACTTTTCACAACCTCTTAAAAATAAAAATAAATCATACAAAATCTTTCACAATTATTTTTAGAAAAGTCTTAACTAAGTGTACCCCATGTAAACAAACTTTTTCTCTTACCATGTTTACAAGAGCCATTTGGATCTTAACCTTCAGTTCATGGAGTTTACCATGGATAGCCCTACTAACAGTCTGAGCTTGAGGGGTAGTTCCCTTTATAAATACATAAAGCAAATACATGAATGACAAATAACAATTATGTTTCAAACAAACTTAAATTAATACATACATAAAATGATTTTGTTTTAAATTTTCATCACCAAAACAAATCTCATAGTCTAGAACATTTTCCATGGAATGAAGTATTTCAGAACTTAATGATCTTTTCACATTACTGTTTAACCTGAACACCCCAGATACCCCTTTATTGAGCATGACATAAGGTACCCTTTACTGAGCATGACACAAGGTTTTAGTGTCTTACATTCAAAATTTTATTAAACTACTTTTTGTTTACATTATACCAAGTAGAATAGCATAAAATCTCAGTTAATAATCCATATTCTAACAGTATAAAATAAGGCAATATTTTAAAAAACCTGAAATTCCAATAATGTGATCCACATGACACATTTTGTCTTAGCATGTCATCATCTCTATTTTATCCATCACCCCTCAAAAATGTAAGAAATTAAACATAAATTAATCTCTATAAAATTGTTATTGCTCAAACAAGCCATAACTTTTATAGCCTTCAATTTTGTTTGATTACAGAGCTATCAAACAGAAAATCAGACCCCTCTTGCCACACCCACCTGTAACACCCTCTCTTTCAGAATTTGTTAATAGTTCTCACTTGTGTTTAATTATGTATTACTTATAACCAATAGAAAGTCAAGGTTTTCATCTATCAAATGATGTATTATATAACATTATG